CTTGTTTCCCTTCCCCGGGGTCCCCCTCGCCCCCCTCCCTGCCCGTGGCGCACCTCCCCCAAAGTCGGGTGACGGGCGTTTCCGAGCCCTGGAGGAACTCCCCGGGTTTCCCTCCACCGGCCGCGGCGAGACTGGCTCCGCCCCTCTGTAACTGACCCTGGCTCGGGCCGCAGCTCGTTGAAACCCGGGGGCTGCGGGTTTCCGACGCTTTGCACCCCCTGCAGGGGCTCTGCGGTGCTTTCCGAGGCTGGCAGGGGCGCCCCATCCTGCAGACCTTTTCAGAACCCTCTCGACCCAGGGCCTGGAGGACCATGACCCGAGACCTGGAGCGGCAGTTGCAGGCACTGGTTTCAACTAGGTCGCCGCCTGGCCTGGTTTGCCTGGTGCCGAGGGGTTACCCGGGACGAGGATTTTCAGTTTTAGAATTAGGAAAGTCCCAGGAAGCTTGGGGTGAGCTAGTCAGCCTGCTCTTAACCCTGGCTGCGCCGGGCCGCAGGAGGAGCCTCTCATTTGGAGATTCTAGTTGAATTGACCCAGGTAGATGCATTTTTTTAAAAAGCTCCCAAGTTTATTCTAACAAACCAACAGAGTTGAGAACCACTAGGTTACAGGCAACAGGGCTAAATGACCGTCGCAGGTGGTTATTTTTGAGCAGAAGTGGGCACAGACATCTCTCAAAAGGGTGTATGGCCAAGAGTGGTGGTCGTCTCATGAAAAGGGGGATCAGCACGGCAGTTACTCATGTTGCTGTTGTCTTTCCCCACCCAAGGCCGTCCTCATCAGTGAGGACCAAGCTCTGGTGCCCCCTCTCCCGAGGTAATAAGCCATGGAATTGCCTCTTTTTGATTAGAGGGTTCACGATGTGCTTAGTTGCAGGGAAAGCGGGCGTGAGACCTGAGGCCGGCTCCCGTATTCTGGCCTGGAACACTTCCCCAGTGAATGGTGATCCAGGAGCCAGCTGAGGGGCAGTGTCCGCTTCAGCTTTGCCCAGGGGGCAAAGAGACCAGGTGCCTCTGCACTGTCCCTTCTGCAGGTCTCCAGGGTCATGTGGTATGTCAGCACCAGGGGGACTGCCCCACGTGTCAACTTCGAGGGGGCCCTTTTCTCCGGCTACGCGCCCGATGGGGGCCTCTTCATGCCCGAGGAGCTCCCGCAGCTGGGCAGGGAGACCCTGCGGCAGTGGAGTGCGCTCTCCTACCCCAGCCTGGTGGCCGAGCTTTGTGCCCTCTTCATCGGCCCGGAGCTCATCCCAAGAGATGACTTAAATGGTGAGCACCCCCACCCACTTCCACTCCCCACCCTTGCCGGCCCAGTGCCTGCAGCGTTGAAAATCTGTCACTTCATCCCTTGGAGGTCTTTGGTCACATTTCTCAGAATTTAGTGTTTCTTTCAGACTGGAGTTCCAGAGCTGGACATACCCAGCCCTTCCCGCCAGCCAAAATGATCTGCAGAGACATTTTTCCCTTTAGTTTCTTTTTAAACTCCTTTTCAAGACTAGTAGTGTGAATGTTGGGATTTTCCTTTCCTGCATATAAGGCACACAGCCCCTTGGCTTGCTGTTTTATTTCCAGAAGGGACCCTGAGAGTGTCCTGGACCAGCTGGTCTCAAACTGTAAAGTGCTGTGGATTCCCCTCAGGGGCTCATTAAAGGCTCATTCTGGCTCAGGAGGTCTGGGAACCGTGCCTTCCTATCAGGTGTCCAGGTGATGCCAGGGCTGCTGCTCCCTGGCCCAGGTATACGGTATCCATACCTGATGTTGAGTTTGGGGCTGGGCGGAGAAGAGGGCCACTCAGACGGTGGTCCAATGACCAGCACTGATGGCATCGCCTGGGCACTTACCAGAATTCTCAGATTCCCTCAGACCTGCCGAACTAGAGTCTGCCTGTTAGGATCCCAGGTGAGGGTTTGTCACTTCAAGTCTGAGCAGTGTGGTTGAGACTGCCCCGCCTCAGGTGGCACCGCAGGCACAGCCTCCCAAGGTGCTGCCCTCCCAGGTGTGAGATTTAGTGATGCAGCAAACAAACGGTGTCCTGACCTTAGAAGGAAAGTGAGAAGGGATGGGGCATTGATTTGTTTGTCACATAACTTTAATTCAATGCTGTTTGGAATATCTTCTGACAAGAAATCCAGATGGTGATGTTTATAAAATAAAAAAATGCAAGTCCTGTAGTTGCATCTCTGCTCTCTGCGGGATCGCTGTGCGGACTCTGCCAGTAGCTTGGTGCCTGTCTTTCCAGACTTCCTCTAAGATCATACAATTCTATTCCTGTATGGTGTGATTTAGGATAAATGTGTCTGCTCTTTTTATCCTGTAGCAGAGATAAAAACTTCCCATTCAAAAGTGTAAAGAGACTGAGAGAGACTGGAGGGAAGACCTAACAATGCCCTCCGCCCACTGTGCCCGCAGATCTGATCCACCGAGCCTTCTGCAGATTCCGCCACCCAGAGGTGGTCCATCTGTCCAGGTTGCGGGACGGGCTGAACGTGCTGGAGCTGTGGCATGGGGTCACGTATGCGTTTAAGGACCTGTCCCTGAGCTGCACAGCGCAGTTCCTGCAGTACTTCCTGGAGAAGAGGGGGAAGCACATCACCGTGGTTGTAGGTGCGCGTGGGAGTGAGCCCAGGAGCCCCGGAGCACCCCAGCCGGCCCTGTCCACCCCCCGCGTGTCCCCTGCTGTTGTCTCTCGGGGAGTGTGTCACTAGCTCTTCCAGAGCAGGGCTCTCAGCCTTCCCTCATGCCATGGTCCCCTTTGACAGTCTGGTGCAGGCTATGGAACCTACTCAGAAGAATATTTTTAAAGATGTAAACTATATAGATTATGTGGTTCCACGTCCACAGATGTCCGGAATTCTATCCATGGGTCTCTTGGTGGTTCGTGGATCCCAGATTCCTGCCCTCTGAGCACTTGATGGTAGATGTTACCTCATTTGGCAACAGTGCTGTGGGGGCCCTTTTTGTGTGCCTTGTTCCAAAGGGAGGCTCTGTTCCTTCCCATCCAGGAACTTCTGGAGACACAGGGAGTGCTGCCATTGAGAGTGTCCGGGGGGCCAGGAACGTGGCCATCATCGTGCTGCTGCCCCAGGGCCACTGCACGAGGGTCCAGGAGCTGCAGATGACCACGGTGCTGCAGGAGAACGTCCGTGTGTTCGGAGGGAAGTGCTGGGTGGGGCCCCAGGCAGCTGCCTGTTCGGGCAGATGGGCTGGATCAAAACTGGTTGTTGACGAGCTGACCGTCCTCTCTCCCTCCTTTCCTTGAACAGTCATCTTTGAGGTTGGCTTAGCTCTGGGCAGGTTCTTTGCTACACAGTCTCATAAACTCTTAGGGGTGACAGGTGCATAAGCCAATGTTGACAGGACAGGCTAGGAAGCCGGGTTTAAAAACATACCTTGGAGAACACCACCTCCATGCAGTCCAACCTGCCAGGGCCAGGTATATATGCAGCAACCCAGGCCATACCCTGAGCCACATGACCTGGAGTTTTTTGTCCCCCAGGGCACTGCAGTTTAGAGGGCAAAAATGTGTTAAATAATTATTTTAAAAGAATGTCATTACAGGTTGACAGTTCATGCCCTCTGCTGTGGTTTGGAAATAACTAAGCCTTGCATGTGATTAGCAGGTCTGAGTATTTAAAGTAGGCAGCTACTTAGCAGCACTCACCTCCGGTGACACCCCTTCCTTAGCCACATCACGAATTGTAGCATTTTGAGAAAGGCAAAAACCTATCTCCTTCAATATCAGGCGATCTGTTCCCAGCAGATCCCATCTTTGTGGAGACTGAGAGTGGAGAAGGAAGGGGTGTGCTTTTATTTTCATCTCTCATACCCCACAAGACTCCAGGTAACCCCACGGTAGGTGTCCTGGCGAGGTTTGTGCACTGTGGCCTTGGGCAAGCTGCCTGGGCATCCTGGCTTCTTTGGCCGCTTATCTGCCAGGACAGCAAGTGTGGCAGAAGACATTCCTTCTACAGCTGGCCTGCCTCCTGGTGTAACGCGAAAGGATATTTTTATATAACACTATTTTTAAGAAGCTACAGTGCAGTGAAAACAAACCTTACTGGTGGGAGTAGCATGAATATCCTTCGTCTCTTTGTTCAAGAGCAAGGAAAAAGCACTGTGCCCTTTTCTTTAGCAAGCGCATTCACTTTCAGGTGAGAAGTTCGTGGTTCAGGTAATGCAGGTGTTGGCAAAATCATACGCATGTCTTGGTAATTGCCCATATTTGGCTGCATTTTCTTGCAGTCATTGCAAGGTATTTTTTAAAATAGATTTTTATTGATTTCAGGGAGAGAGGAAGGGAGAGGGAGAGAGAGGTAGAAACATCAATGATGAGAGAGTCATTGAGTGGCTGCCCCCTGCACGCCGCCTGCTGGGGATTGAGCCCACAACCTGGGCATGTGCCCTGATCAGGAATCAAACTGCGATCTTCTGGATCATAGCTTAGCTCAACCGTTGAGCCATACCGGCTGAGTTCATTGTAAGATTTTAATGCACAAGATTCAGGTTCCCAAGGGTTCCTGTTGTACCCCAAGCACCAGAATTGCTAATTGTAGAACTAAGACCATCTTTTCCTCGAATCAAAGCAAAAAAAAGCTTTTTGTACCTGTGTCCTGCCACCTACTCCCCCTCACTTTGTACAGATGTTGGAAGGCTTTTCCCTGAGGGTGTGCATGGAAGCTTCCTTCCTGACCCTGAGTTGCTGGGGGTTCATGCTCCTGACAGCTGCCCTCTCCTCTCTCCCAACAGTGGAGGGAAACAGCGACGAGCTGGACGAGCCCATCAAGGCCGTGTTCACCGATGTGGCTTTTGTCAAGAAGCACAACCTGATGAGTCTGAATTCAATCAACTGGTCCCGGGTCCTCGTGCAGATGGCTCACCACTTCTTCGCTTACTTCCGGTGTGTGCCATCCTTAGATGTGCACCCGCTGCCCCCTGTGGAGGTGGTTGTGCCAACAGGGGCCGCTGGCAACCTTGCAGGTAAGGAGACCCCTGCGCGGAAGGGAACTTTGCAGAAAAACGTCTGTGGCCCAGTCCTTTCAGCTGCCCTTTGCCGGCAAGCATGAGGAGAAAGACTGAGTCGTAACTCTGAAGGGGATGGGAAACTATGCAGGAGAAGCTCCCCACAAACTTCCCCCTGGCTCCCTGGGGGGCACCTGGCCTCTTGCTGCAGGGAAAGGGTGGTGCATCAGCCCTGACGTCCTCTGGCCCCTGGCCCGATGCCCGAGTGTGGCAGGGTGTGGGGAGGGGAGGTCCAGGTTCCGCGGACTTTCCTCCCGGCCTCGGCCAGGGGCCTGCTGGAGGGCACACAGCTCGGCGGGCAGGTGCTGCCCCTCCTGGAACCGCTGCTGGAGACGGGCGGGGAGAGTCCTGGCCTTGGGTTCGGGCCGACCTGTCCTTTGCTAGTTGAACACTATGGGCGGCCCCTCAGACCTGGCTTCTCAGGTGTAAAAGGGACAGTGGATTGCTCATATCTCAGGACCATTGTGAGGGCAGATAAGACTGTTTCGTTTGTATGTGACCTTCGTACAGCTGCATGATATTAAAATCATTTTCTATAATAATTAACATTTATCAAGCACTGAATAGACAGCAGGCATTGCTCTAACTCATCTAATTCTCACATGTGCCTATGAGAAGGACGATACTATTACTTCCATTTTGTTTTTGGATTTTTGTTTGTTTTTTTCTATGCCATATATTTTATTTATTTTTTATTTTTAAAATTTATATTTATTGTTGAAAGTATTACAGATATCCTCCTTTTTTCCCCATTGACCCCCTCCCCTGCACTCCCACCCCCTCCCCAGGCCTTCACTGCACTATTGTCTGTGTCCATGGGTTATGCATCTAAGTTCATTGGTTAATCTCTTCCCGCCCACCCCTGCCTTCCCTGAGACTCATCAGTCTGTTCCATGCTTCAATGTCTCTGGATCTATTTTTTCTTCAGTTTATTTTGTTCGTTAGATTCCACATATGAGTGAGATCATGTGATACTTGTCTTTCTCTGACGGGCTTATTTCACTTGGCATAATCCTCTCCAGGTCCTCCATGCTGAACCAGAGGGTAAGGGATTTACACAGTGGGATATTATGTAGCCGTATTACTTCCATTTTGTAATGAGGAAACTGAGGCATAGAGAAGTTAGTTGGCTTGCCCCTGTTCCCACGCAGGTCCGTGGCAGAGCCAGGGTTGGGGCTCCGGCAGGCTGCTCCAGAGCCCACATCCCTACCCACTTGCCGGGGTGCCTCCTATGGGCATTAGTGTCTCTGGTGGTTCTGTCAGCAGGTGCCAGTGGGGCGGCTTAGGTGAGACCCTGCAGGCATCTTAGTGGTTAGGCAAGGATGCCTCAGCCTTCCTCACCACCCACGGGCGAAGCCCACCCTGCTCCCTCCCCTTCTGCCTCACCCCCAGCAAATGATGCCACCCACAGTCATGCAGCCTGCCCATGCCAGCACCTACCACAGTGCCTGGCACAAAATCCATATCAGCGAGGGTGTTTCTAGCTCCCCTGCTCTGTCAGGAGCCAGCTGTTCGACCTTAAGCCCCTCACCCCTCCTGAGCTTCCATTTCCCCCCTTTCGTGGAAGGATATCACGACGTTTTCACGAGGAGCAAGTGAAATGAGTGTGAAAGTGCTTTGAAAATTGAGAGTGATGGTGGGGTGGGGGCCGTCCTGACTTCTTTAACCACTCACCAGGGATTAACCATTTGCAGAAGTAGTCACGGTGGGCAACATGAGTAGACAGTTGTAATACAAATAAATAATACAATAATTAATAAATTATACAAGAGTAAACTGTTTTGCGTACTCACAACTGTAAACCTACTTTTGCCCACCCTGTATAAAGCCTTCCTAAACTACTTTTGGCGGCTCTCCATCTCTCAGGGTGAGGAATTCCCTGTCTGTCTCGTGCAGACAGGACGGCTGATAGGGTGGGCCCAGGGCACTGCTCGGTCACCCCTGGGTGCCTCCCAGATGGTGCATCCAAAGGCGAGGGCTCTAGGAGGCTGTCAGCACAAGCGCGTCTGTCTGTCTGAGACCTAGTCTGAACCTTCACTCTGCCACCCAGCAGGCTTTGGAGGGATCAGTTAAACCCCCAGAGCCTCCGCTTTCTCTTCTGTAGTGATGGCCAGCGTGTGTGTCAGTGCCTGGCGGGGGTTGGGGGGTGACACTCTTCTCTATTTGTGGTAACAGCTTATTGCTGCTATGTGTGATTCACATACCATGCAACTCACCAATTTAAAGTACACAATTCAATAGTTCTTCGTATATTTAAATATTTATATAACCATCACCACTATTAATTTTAGAACATTTCATCACCCTAAAAGGAAACCCTGTTCCCATTAATAGCCACTCCCTACCGTTCATTCCCCCAGTTCTAGCAACCACTAATCTATTCCATCTCTCTCGATTGGTCTATTCTGCCAATTTTATATAAATGGAATCATGCAATATGTGGCCTTTTGTGTCTGTCTTCTTTCACTTAGTACAATGTTCCCAAGGTGCATCCGTGTTGTTACATGGATCAAGTACTTCGTTCCTTTTTATGTCTAAATAATATCCCATTGCATGGATAGACCACAATGCCTATTAACTAATAGACATTTGGATTGTTTCAATTTTTTAGTTATTGTGAATAATACTGCTGTGAACATTTGTGTAAAAGTTTTTGTATGAACCTATTTTTCTTTATCTTGAGTGTATATACCCAGGAGTGAATTTCTGGGTCATATGGTAGCTCTATGCTTAACTTTTTGAGGGACTGTCAGACTTTTCCAAAGCGGCTGTACAGTTTACATTCTCACCAACGGTGTGTGAGGGCTCCAGTGAATTCACATCCTGAGTAAGACGCGGTATTATCTGTTTTGGTTTTTTCTAGCCATCCTAGTGGGTATGAGTGGTATGTCATTGTGGTTTTGCTTTGTGTTTTCCTGATGACTGGTGATACTGAGGAGCTTTCCATGTGTTCGTTCTCCATTTGTTTATATTCTTTGGAGAAATGTCTGTTCAAGTCCTTTGCCCATTTTTAAATTAGGTTACTTGTATTTTTATTGTTGGGTTGTAAGAGTTTATATATCTGTGCATATTCTGGACCTCAATCTCTTATCAGATGTATGATTTGCAAGTAGTTTAACCCACTCTGTGGGTTGCCTTTTCATTTTCTCAGTAGCGTCCTTTGAAACACAAAAGCTTCAAAAAACACAAAAGTTTCTTAATTTTGATGAAGTTGAATTTATTTATTCTTCTTTTGTTGTTCATGCTCTTGGCGTCATGCCTGAGAAGCCATTGACCTCCTCTCTTGCCTTAAGCTGGCTGCATTGCTCAGAAGATGGGGCTGCCCATCCGCCTGGTGGCGGCCGTGAACTGCAACGACATCATCCACAGGACTGTCCAGCGAGGAGACTTCTCTCTGTCTGAGACGGTCAGGCCAACCTTGGCATCGGCTATGGACATCCAGGTGGGACCTGTGGGGAGGCATGTGGTCGGGTGTTGGGTGGGTGGGGACGGACAGGGCTGAGATCAGAGTGACACCCTGGCCCCTGCCTTTCTACACAGGTGCCCTACAACATGGAGAGGATTTTCTGGCTGCTGTCTGGCTGTGACAGCCAGATGACAAGAGCTCTCATGGAACAGTTTGAAAGGACCCAAAGTGTGAGTCTACCTGAGGAACTGCAAAGCAAGGTCAGTCACCACAGAGAAAGGAAGGGTGCAGCCCCAAGACCAGCCAGACTTGGGGTTTGAAAATCTGTTCAGGGGATGGGGACACCTGTTTCCTGAGCACTTGCTCTGAGCCTGTCACTTTGCAGCCACTTTATATGGGTTCTTTTATTGAAAGAGGAAGGACAGTAGAGTCCTGGCTTAGAGTCAGACAGGGCTCAGCTCCAAGCCAGTTTCTCAGACTCAGTGCCTCAGCTTCCTCGTCTATACGATGAGGAGAATGAAGAGAACCCATGTCATCGCCTTGCTGAAGACTGAAGTCAGATAATACCCAGGGAGTACTTTGAATGCTACCAAGCAATATATTAACTATTATTACTTTAATTTTTATTGTTGTTGATTTCCAATAGTAGCAACAACTGGAAGTCACTTTGTCCATCCGATATGAACAGAGCCCATTGTCCTGTTAGCTTTTTTTTTTTTTAAGGAGGTGAGATTTTATCTCCTCAGAGTGATAGGAATAGAGTTGGGAAGGATTGCTTTCATTTTAATGCCACCTTAATGGTGGTCAATTTATGTAAAAAAAACACACAATTTTATATGTTGCAGCTGCATTTACTTTTCTCTACCACATTCCCACCAGTGGTCACCTGAACTGTGTCTGTCCCCAAGGCCCAGGACCTCACCACCGCACGTCACTCCAGTCATTGCACACCCCGCGCACTGCGCTGGGAGTGGCCCCTCTCACTTGCACACTGGAGGGTAGGCCGACTCCCAGACTTGAGGAGGATCTTTGTTCACCCACTAAACCTTCCTGGTCCCTTTAGCGGTGTCTTACATGACATAATTTTGAGTGGTCATTGTCCTTCTTAAGGAATTGGTCCCAGAACTAGACACAGTTGGGGCTTAGCCACCGCAGAGCAGAGTGGAATTTCCATCTTCCTGAACCTGCGCTGCTCTTGATGTAACGTGTCTTAGCCTGGGCTGCTGTGTCAGAGTGCCACAGACCGGGTGGCTCATAAACAGAGCAAACTCATTTCTCACAGTGAGGGATAGAGGCCCGGGTGCCAGCGTGGATGGGCTCTGGCGAGAGCCTCCTGCCAGGCTGCACAGGCGCCTTCTCCTGTCTTCACTCAGGAGAAAAGAGCTTTAGCCAGTCTCTGGCCTCTTTTTATCAAGACACTAATCCCATTCATGGGGGCTCCACCCTCAGGACCTAAATACCTCCCAAAGGCTCCACCTCCTGATGCTATCACACTGGAATTACGGTTGCAGCTATGAGACTGGGCGATACACACATTCAGACCGCAACACACGCACAGATCAAATCATTTGGTTGATAGTCTGTTTTGACATCCACTTTCCTCTCCTCGTGTGAATGAGGTGCCGCAGGACACAGACAGTGTCCCCAGCTCTTCACTCTCTCCCTGGCGGTGCATATGGAAGACACTTCATCTACTAGACTAGCATTCATTCATTCATTCATTCATTGATATGTATACTGTGTATACTATGAGCCAGAGGCTGTGCTAGGGGCTGGAGATAACAGTACAAGTAAAATACATCATTGTCTTCCAGGAGCCCTAATGGGACAGGTAGCCACGTAAACAGTTTATGACACCCTCTGGTCTCTGCTGCCATCGGGTGTATGCAGGGTGTTTGGCACATCGTAGGCATGCAGTAAATTTTCTGAGAATGATCATATAAGCTTTCTATGCCAGGGGACACTGAGTAGTGGGGCGGAGGTTTCCCAGAGGAGCTGCTGCAGGAGCCGCTCGGGGACAGACAGGAAGGGGCCTTGTGCCCACAGGAGGGCACACCAAGGACACAGCACTGGGAACGTTGACTGCCCTGGACCTCTGAGCTCTTGAGGTTGTTGAACGAGACGCTGCATTTACTCACTCATGAGGCGAATCCTAAGTTTATTGACCTGAAAGTCGAATGCATCTTCCCTCAAGTTGAGTGAGGCAGCTCACAACTGGGAAGTGCGGGAAAACGGGTTTTCCTCTGAGCCGAATCGAAGCCGTTCAGTCTGAACTCAGTCTCGTGCTGTTTACTGGGCTTTGGCCACCTTTCTCCTTGCTCCCCCTAACCCTGATTTCCACCCCTCTGGCCCTGGGACCCATCAGCTTTCAGCGGCAGTGACATCCGAGTCAGTGTCAGATGAGGCCATCACACAGACCATGGCCCGCTGCTGGGAAGAGAACCAGTACCTGCTCTGCCCTCACTCGGCCGTGGCCGTGAGCTGTCATTACCAGAAGGTGCACAGGCAGACGCCCAGGTATGGCCTGGGCACCTGGGTCACTGGTGGGGGAGACCCTTTGGCTTTCAGGGGCCCTCTTCTTCCCCTAGCAGGGGACAGGAGTATGAACAAATGGCTTTAATGAGCATGGTGGGTGCTCTGTGGAACTGTGTCCCAAGAACTGGTCCCCGAAGAGGGTGTGTGACGGACATCCTGGGTCAGCCCACGTAGGAGATGACGGTTGAGCTGGGCCTTCAGCAAGAAGCAGCAAGTTGCTCAGCAGTCATTGTAGAATAAGTTTAAGGTCCAAACATCTGACTCTCTCTCTCCTCTGTGCCCCACACTACCCCTCTCCTCCCCTGTCCCTTCGTCTCCCTCCTCCCTTCCCCTTTCTGTACCTGTGTCCCATCTGTGGTCTCCCACCCACTTGCTTGCACCTGCCCCACCCCACAGCCCTCCCCGGTGTTGCCTGGCCCCTGCCTCTGCAGCCAAGTTCCCAGAAGCTGTCCTGGCTGCCGGACTGACCCCCGAAACTCCCGCGGAGATCCTAGCCCTGGAGAGAAAGGAGACGCGCTGTACCCCAATGCGGAAGGGTGACGACTGGACGCTGATGCTTCGAGACACAATTGAGGACATGGGCCGGCGGTGGAGGGTCACTCCCTGAGTGCCCAGAATAGCCAGGCTGCAGTTGGCTTCCCTTAGGCTTCGGACTCCAGGGTGGGGCGGGGGTTCCCTCTGAGCTGCCTTGAGCACCTTCTCCCTGTTAAGAGTTGGTGTGGGAGGTTCTCAGGAGGCTGCTCAGTGGGGTGTGGAGCCAGCTGGCCTTGCTCAGCCTCGCGGCTGCTCTGTGCTCTCACCATGGTGGTGTGGTGCCATGTCGGGGGGTAGGCAGGGGGTGTGCGTGGTCGCTGGAGGTGCACCCGCACCGCTGGACATTGCAGGGCCTGCAGATGAAGAGCCCTGGGCACAGAGTTGACCTTGGCTTCAGGGTCCAGGACCCCAGGCCCTAAAACTGTGCAGGTGGGGGCTGCACACTCCATTGGCAGAGGCCTGGGGCTGCCATTTCTGAGCGTGTTTTTCCAGAGGGTCAGTCTGCCTCGTGAGTCACCCACCCTATGAAAGGGTCCGAATCCCCAGACTGCAAGCGCATGTGCAGTGGGATGGTGACTGTGCGTGGCCTGCAGCCAAGGATGGTGGCTGCAGGGGTGGCAGTGGCATCACGGCGAGTGTGCACTACCTCCTGCCGCTGCTTCCAGCTGGCCCAGTGCTGCGGGGCGGCAGATGGGCAGTGGGGTAGATGGCATAGCTGGGGTGCACAGGGTTGAGATGCGGGACCTCCGGGTGTAGGCCGTGTGGAAAGTGCTCCACAAGGTGCAGACTGCGTCAGGCTGCCCTGTCCATGGACTGGTTCGCCTGTTTCATTAACCCAGGGCAGGCGTCACAGCAGCGAGGCGCAGTGGCCCACACTGACCACTAGGCAGAGCCTGGACACCTGCATCTCCGTGGTGCCCTGGTCACCACAGCGCCCGGAGGAACCAGATCATTCTTTTCTCTGCACATGCGACTTGCTCTCCGGTCCCCGTGCCCCTGACCCTGCACTGGCTTCTGGGAGCCCATCCTCAGAGGAGCCCAGACCTCCACCCCCAGGCCTCTCGAGGCTCGGTTCTGTGTCCCCTGTGCTGTGGAGGCGCCTCGTCGGCCCGGCTGGGAGTGGGGACTCCTGTACCTGACTGTGAGGGCTTTGTTCCCATGCAGTTTTCTTCCACAATGCAGAGGGCTGGCTTTCACCGAGCCGAGCTTTACTCCTCCACTTTTTACCATCCAGCCCTGCGTTGTCCAGTGTGGTAGCCACTAGCTGTGTGTGACTGTCGAGTACTTGAAATGGGGATAGTATAACTAAGGAACTGAATTATAAATTTGATTTAATTTTAATTAATTTACATTTAAATTTCAAAACTGTTACTTGAATCAGTTATTGGGAAACTTTGCAGTATGGTTGAGAAAATGCTGGTATGAGAATCTGCTTTTTCAGCTGTAAATTTCATGAAGCACATAAAATACAAATGAGCATTTCCAATGAAATTAGTTGGAGCACTAAATAGAACACTGAGGTGCCACAATTGTCAAATACATATGGAACTTCAAAGACTTTGAATGAAAATTCAAAAATATCTCAATATTTTTTATTGGTTACATGTTGTTAATATTTTGATGTTTTGGATGAAATAAAACATGTTACCAAATCACTTTTGTTGGGTTTTGTTTACAAGGACATTTAAAGCATGAGTGTAGCTCATTTGGTAGTTCCCACTATTTCTGTGGAGCTTAATCTTGGCTCTGTGCACACATTAACACACTGCACATAGTTGTGGGTTTAGTTATATTACTGGATTTAAATCCTGTGTGGATTGAGGGGGGTTTACAGAAACACAAATACGTGAATGTCAGCATAGGCCTCAGTCATATCGTGGACACTGGGGGGCCCCCTGTGGAGGGCAGATGAGGCAGGCACCGGGTGGAAGGAGATTTGGGGCCACTAGAGGCTGCTGTTGCTACCACTGAGGGACACAAAGGATCCAGTGGGTATTTGGTCTCCAGAGCCCCCTTCCCCTGCCCTGAGGTCTAAAGGAGTTGGTCACCCAGGGTGATCTCTGCATGCCATCCCCATACCAGGACATGCCAGTCCCACATCCCTGTGGTGCCCAGGGATGGAAAGGAGAGGCCAGAGGCCACCCCCTTACTGGGAAACTTGGCATTGCAGCATGGCATTCAGTATAAATTGCCCGACACGTGGAAGGATGGAGGAGCATCCCTGAAAGAATGACTGTGGCCCTCACAGGCGCAGCACTTGGTGGTACCCGAGGTTCTTTAACATCCACAGCAGCATGTGTAATAAGCCCATCAGGCTCAAGAGGCCCAGGAGCTTTAAGTCATGATGCATTTAGAGGCCATCAAAGTGTTTTCATTTCTTTTAAAAGGAAAGCAAAAGTGCCCAGGCCCACAGACATCATGATGTGGCAGTGAGAGCACCTACTATGTACCAGGCAATACTTGACAAACTTTAATCCTGACAGCAACCTGTGCAGTAGGTGTTACTATTGTCTGCATTTTAGAGAAGGGGAAACTGAGGAGTCGAGGTGAGGAAACTTGCCAGGGTGGCACCACGAGGGAGCAGAGAGGCTGGGGCTGAGCCCAGGCACCTGACTTCAAACCCAGTGTGTAGTTTTCACCACGCCACATAGGGAGCTGGCCAAGTTCTGGGCAGCTGCACTCCGCGTCTCTCCCCAGGCCACGCCCTTTCTGTGGGTGGGCCTGGGAGCTTGGCTGTGCTTCTCCAGGGTCCCGCCAGGGGCTGCTGCAACCCTGCCCGCTGGGGTCTGTGGCCAGCCCCGGCCCTGCACCCGGGCCAGCTGTGGGCAGGCAGAGCCAGAGCATCCTGCTCCTTTGCTCCATATTTCTGAGGGCCTCAGAGTGCAGTGTGGGGGCCACAGGGGTCACCAGATCCCCTGTTCTCTGCATGCTTCAGAGACCTAGTAGCTCTGAGAGGCCACCACACCTGTGAAAGGGGGCCCAGATATTAAGCCATGGGACACAGCGCAGACAGACGTGAACATGAACTGCAGGATGTTCTGGCCACGGGTCTTGGGGCCGAGTGTAGGAGAAGGACAGGAGTGAGATGAAGTCTGAAGAAGCACCCACCCTGTGAACATACACCCAGGCACGCAGGCACCCACACACCCACACGCACACACGCACAGCCCACCTAATGGAAGAAGGAAGAAGCCTCGTACCAAGTGAAGTAGAACCAGGTTGAAATTGCCCCTTCTGAGTCATTCATTCACTTACAGGTGGTCCTATTACAGACCAGCTGTTTCGCCTCTGTGAGCCTCAGTTTCCCTGCCTACTAATTACAGTGCAATACTTTCCTTGCTGGTTTGTTTTGAGGATTACATGAGATAATACATTTTCAAGTGCTGGGTAAATGCTAAAATGCCATACAAATGGTTCTGATTACTAACACAATTATAGTCTGCACCAAACAATTTAGTCCTTTTAAACTACCTTGTATTTTTTACTAATTGCTTCCAGAATTAGTCTTATCTTGCCAGTGAGATTGCCTCTTCCAGGGGGACAGAGTTCCACGTGGCCTCAGAGTGCTGGCTGGGCTCTGGGGCAGGGTTGGGTTGCCATCTCAGAGCCACCGTGCCCAGCAACAGTCTCTGTGAGGGCCGTGTGGGGCTGGATGCTATGGGTTAGTCAGTGGTGGCTCTGCCTGCCAGTTAACAAGCCTTGTTAATTTGCAATGATAATGGTGGAATGATTCCCTTTCTTGAGTATAAGTGATGTGCAGGGCCCTTTGTAAAGCATCTAGAGACATTGACTCCTTCAGTCCTTACAAGGATTGTATAAAAAATACTATTAGGATCTCCATTTGAGAGATAAAGAAATGAAGCTCAGAGAAGTTAAGTAACTTGCCCAAGGCCACTCAACCAGTAAGAGGTGAAGGAGAGTTGAAGCTGAGTGTAGGGTCGCTGAGCTTAACCACATGCTAGACCAGGAGAGGTGCTTTGAGTCAGATGGCCTCCAAGTTCTCTTCCTGTCAGAGTCTGCAGGCGAGGCAGGGAGATGGCAGTGTCTGAGGCAGAGGGGAGGAAAAGAGGGCCCATCATTAGGAGATGGATCAGATGCTCCGGGGAGGGGCACAGAGCTGGTACCTTTGTGGGGCTTACCCTTGGAGCTGGGTTCCTGCCTGGGGATGCCTGGGCGCAGGCGTCTCCTGAGCGGAGTGGGTGTTAGAGTGGAGAGTGGAGTGAGAGTTGTTCTGTGGGATTCCACCTGCTGGCAAGGAGGCTGAGCCTGGTTGGCCCCACTGGGAAGGCTCAGACTACAGCTGGGTGAGCCAGGGAGGCTTGACTGCATTTTCTGTGTCCCTGAATAAACAAAGGGGAGCAACACAGAGAGGGCTGGGCCATTAGCCTCCAGGAAAGAGAGTAGGACTGACTTCTCCCTGTCCTTCCTACTGCCTTTGACCAAAAAAGCATCTTCTCAGGTCTCCCCTTTTCAGGCCATCAATTCCACAACCTGGGTGCCTCTGGGTGCCAGGGCCTGGCAAATGCTGAGGACCAGGGTGGTGACTTCCTACCAAGCGCTGGGCACTAAGTTGGATACCAAGGAAGGCACAGATAAAAAAATGGGGAAAGATGAGTCTGGAGTTGACTAGAAAGGTAAACATTTGGGAAAACACCCTGGGGCTGCTCCAGGACTTTAAGCAACTGGTTCCTGAGTGCAAGAGCCCAGTAAGTCCTCCTTTGGCCCCTCTTCCCTGCCCACTTTAGCACTGACCCACGGTGTCTGCCTGATTGGTTTAGGACTGCTTTCCCACTGTTACACATTCCTTAAAGTCTACTGTGAGTACCCACTATCCCAGCACCTAGCCAGGAAACCCAGCCTTCCCTGACTGTGGCTTCTGTGAGTGGTGATTGGGACAGACCTGGCAGGAGGAGCTGCAGGGGAGGAAAGCTGACTCGCAGGTGATTGAGGGAGGTGGTGGGGGAAGAAGGCTGGGCTGCGTCTCCAAGGGTCCTCTGGGTGCCACGGGGATCCTCCCAGTCAGCACTGTTCCCCAAGGTCTGGTCATCACAGAGGTCTCTCATAAACCAACACCCTGGAGGAGGCGGGACCTCCTGTCACAGCAGAACAGCGTGCAATAGGGCCAGGCTCCTCTGCTCTGAAGGAACGCCCAAGACAAGGCCCTGTAACAGGTACAAAGTGGAGGAGTGTGGAAGTGCTCTAAGTCCTTCAGGCCCAGGGGACATTCCTGGGACATCCCCAAGGGTTGGCCGCTAGGGGGCACAGGAGTGTCACCTCTGGGGCCTCCCTTTCATCTCATCACTTGTTTGGATCACTGTCTTCCTCCCACCTGCCTTATCCAGGCCTCAGCCACAAGCAGGAATAATACTCGCTTGTAAAATCAATTCAATTTAGGTCTTAAGGGTTGAGAAAGGTTAGGGCCCAGCTCTGTGCAACGTTTCTGCAAATAAAGGTCACTTGGAGCTATAATTACCCCACCTTCCTTCTGTCCCCACCACCTGTGGGCAAATGCATCCTTCCAAACTCTCTGAGGCAAGATGAGTCAAGCCAGTGATTCACATGGCCGGCAAAGGGCAGCAGAGCACACCCGAAGTTCCTCCCCCTCCCATACTTTGCAAGCATGCTGGTCTGACTTTGTTGTCTGGGAATTATAGCCGCTGAAGGTCAAGGGTGGGGACAAGCTCCAAATATTTTTTTAGTTTATTGTTTCTCAAATTTAACATTGGGAACTCTCTTTTTTAAAAGTGAAAAAAAGCCTGGTTAGTGTGGTCAGTGGTTGAGCATCAAACTATGAACCAAGAAGTCACGGTTTGTTTCCCATTCAGGGCACATACCCAGTTTGTGGCTTGATCCCCAGCAGGGGTTGTGCAAGAGGCAGCACACCAATGACTCTCTCTCATCATTGATGTTTCTATCTCTCCCTTCCTCTCTCTGAAAACAATTTTTAAAAAGTGAAAAAATAATTACACCTGCTAGATTGGCTACCATCAATAAATCAAAAAACAACAAGTGCTGGCGAGGATGTGGAGAAAAGGGAACCCTAGTACATTGCTGGTGGGAATGCAGACTGGGACAGCCACTATGGAAAACAATATGGAATTCCCTCAAAAAATCAGAAATTGAACTGTTGTTTGGCCCAGTGATCCCACTTCTAGCAATATATCCAATGTTGCTTTAAATAGCTTTTCTGTTTTGTAGTAATGCTACTCAACATATGCAAACATAAAACTACCTATAAGCCCCTGATACTGATAACTTCCATACAAGGATAAAAACAAATCAAAATTTAAATTAAATGAGAACAGGTCAACAAACAAAATCAATACAATTCAGAGTCATCTCATTAATGTATGTGATACATCGAGTGCTCACTGAGATCTCCGGTACACAGAACTGTGGCACTTCATTCTTAAGGCGTGGTTTTTGTTACCATTGCTCATTGAGCATGTTTATTTTCTATGTGTGGAAT